CCTGTGGTCCCAGCTACTTGGGAGGCAAAGGCAGGAGACTCACTTGAGCCCAGGAGTTGGAGGTTGCTGTGAGCTGTAAAGCCAGGGCACTCTACCCAGGGGGACAGCTTGAGGCTCTGTCTCAAAAAAAAAATAAAAAATAAAAAAAAATAAAAAAAAACAAAAGGTTCCTTGGATTAAGACAGAACTTACCTCCTGATCTTGTGCAGTATCTCTAATCTCATTTTTTCTGATTTTTTTCTCATTTTGAGTATCATCGTCTTCTTCTTGTACCCAGGTTCTTTTTTGGCTATTAGAAGTTTCTTCCATTGTATTTGCAGATGGTGAAATCTCTTTTTGGTATGTCTTAATCAAAACTTTTTCCTCAGTTTCTATGCTAACTGAGTCTGTGGAATTAATCTCATCAGGAAATATAGGAAGATTTTCCTCATTTATATATTGAGATGGACTTAAGTTCAGTTTGGCTGCAACACATTCAATGCCGGAATCCTTGCTGGAGACTGGCTGAGTTCCTAAGTGATTTAAGTCAGTTGTGTCTGCTGAAATCTGCTTCAGGTCATCAACACCAGACACACTACAATTTCTCTTATTTGGCAATCTGGGCAAAAAGATTCCCAAAGAACATCTCCTCATTTTATCTTTAATAGCTGTCTTTAATGGTACAGAGGTAATTTCAGTTCCATTATAAGATTTATTTTCGTTGTCTCTATTATCTTTAGCATTGCCGGAGATTATGTTAACATTATGTACTTCAGTAGCTTGCACTATACTCATATCATTATGTGCCTTATTTCCTAATTCAAGTATTTGCTCTGGAGGAGGCGCTATGTGAACAGTTTGAAAATCTAAATACTCTTCAGTCTTTCCATTCAAGTTACTAAAATTTGGCCTGAAACTACTAAAACATGGAACATTAGATGCAATCACAGGATCTGATGCTTTTCTAGCATTGACATGGGTTTGAATGGCTTGCTTAGTCAAGTCTGAGTTATTGTGGAAATCTATAGCTGTGTTACATTTAGCTATATGAATAGTTTCCTTCAGTTCCTTATTACAGGTTGTAGCAAACTCCTTCTCATTATTGCGCATTTTGTACTTGTTTTCTCCTGTGGTTGTAGAGGAATTTCCTATATTTAAACTCTTATTTCCAGGTTTAGACAGTACTACTTCATCCTTATTGACACTACTTTGTTCTTTTTGAGATAGTGGAGGTTGCTGAGTTGGGGGAGGGGTCTGAGAAATAACACAAGTATCATCAACAAAAGTTTCCATTTGATCTTTTGAGAGCTTAAAAGATACTTGCCTTGAATCAAGTTTAGTCATCTCCTCCAAATCTTGACTATACATTAATGTCTGATTAGCTGACAGATTTGGAGGTTCCTTAATCAGATCTTGATCTTTGAGTAGTGTTAAGACACCATCTAAATGTCCTTTGGTATTGGTCTGAATAACTTCTTCCTTTTCTAACAAAGGACAGGGAACAGAGAGAGACAGTCCCTTAGATTCCAAACGATATTCTTTGGCTAAATTGTCTGCATAATCAAGATCATTTTGTACTGAGTAATTATTGGTTTTCTCTTCATTTTTATCACATAAGAACATGGCACTAGTCTCTAAATTATCAGTACAGGAAATAACATTTGGTAAGCAGGAATAATTATCACAGGATCCACAAAGAGCAGTTGTATGACTACTTGTAAATTCCACATTCCTTCTATCCGTACTATTTAAGTGACAACTTTTAATGTTGGCTTTTTTCAATGTTTGAGCCAGATCTACATCTTTCCCTGTGACCTCTTCATTCACAGCAGTGTCATGGGATTTGATGGTTCCTATTTCACCTTGATCCCCAGACAATGTATTAGTAGGCATCATGTGATGCTTTTGGTCAGTGTGAAGCACAATTTTGTTTTCTACAGCCAGTGCTTGTTTTTTAGTGATTTCTTGAACAAAGCTAGCATCCTCAGGAAAAGAAACACCCAAGATTTTTTCTTTTGCTGTTCCAAATTTAGGGTGCCCTTGAAGTATTTTTTCTGTGGCTTGACAATCAATGAACACAGTATGGGACTTGGTGACTTCCAAATCATTGTGATTATCTACGAACACTACAGTTTTGTCCATAGGCCTAGTAATTTCATCTGAGATGGTTTTACATCCTAAGGGAGTTGTATGACTTGTAGTGATCTCCATGTCATCATGTCCACATGAAGACAAAATAGTTTTACAAGTTCTTGCCAAAGGAACCAAATGGAAGTCCTCTCTATCTTCCAGCATAGTTTTGTTATTTATTTCTACCTTACAACTCTGGGTAATATCTATATTATTTTTATCATTCTTTGAAAATGCAATGGTCTTGTCATTTTTGAGCCTGAGGCTCTTTCTTCTCTGACTTTTGCCTGACAGAGATTCATCCAGAAATTTAGGTTTCTGTACATCTTTGACATTTTTCCAAGTGGTTGATTTAGACACGTCCATCTTATTATCAGCTATAAATGATACAGCTTTCTCTATAGGAGCACTATTAGACCATTCTTCTACACATGCCAAATGGATGTCTTTTGACAATGGATGGTCACTTTTGCCATTTTCTGGGGAAAAAACATTCTCCTTAGTAAGAGTATGTATCACTTTTGGTTTTCCTAGGCTTTTCCTTTGGGATAGTTCAAAGTTAGGTCTGGCTGGAAGCACATTATTCTCTTTTGCTTGGTAGTCAATGAAAACAGTGTGAGATTTTGTCATTTCCAGTTCATCATGATTATCTACAAACAGTACAGTTTTGTTGGCAGGCTTAGTAATTATTTCATCTGGTGAGGTAGTTTTACATTCTAAGGCAGTTGTGTGACTTCGGGTGATCTCCATGTCATCCTGCCCACATGTATACAAAACAGTTTTAGAAGTTTCTGCCAAAGGCACTAGATGGAAATCATATTCACCTAATAAAGGTCTATGGTCTATTCCTACTGTATAACTCTTGGTAATATCCATATCATTCTTATCACCCTCTGAAAATATAATAGTCTTATCAATTTTTAGTCCACCAACACTTTTCCTTCCACAAATTTTGACATTTTGCTTTTTCTTCAGAAATTCAGGTTTCTGTATACTTTCACCTTTTGACACATCCAAGATATAATTATAATTAGGACTTTCATCACATTTTTCAACATTTACAGCTACCTGTCTGCTGACTGCTGTTAGCTGGCTGGTAGTGTGTTCTAAACTAGTTTTACCAAGTTCTTGTTCTTTAGAAGAACCAAATCCAATGACAACTGTGTGGCTCTTAGTTAGATCCATATTTTGCTCCTCCTCTGAACAATCAATCATCTGTTCATGAAAACAGTCAGATGTGGGACCAAGTAAGCTTTTCTCTAGTGGCTCAGGCAGTTTAGAATTCTGACCTAGTACAGATTTCACAGTATGACTGTTAACAGCAGTATTATTTTTCATGGCAGACTGTCCTTCTGATAAAACTAATAGTTTTGTGGTAGAAAACAAAGACTGCTCACATGAAGCTGTATTTCTGTTATTTCCCAATGCTACTTGTTTATCAAGAACACCACCACAGTAGACTATGTTATGGCTTGCTGCTATGTCCTGATCACAGTTAGCTGACTGAGAAGAATCTTTATCATGATAGGGTGAAATTTTTGAAACTTGGTCTTTTTCTTTGCTCCAGGTATCAGTTAGGATGTTTTCAGATATCATGTCTGGTTGTTGGGATGCTTCAGTATGACCTTTGGTCATCTTTCCCCCTACATCTGAAGAACTTTTGCTAAGACAGTAAGATTTATTGGTATTCTTGGGTGCTAAATTATAAGATTCAAGAGCAACCTGACTTCCTAAGTTACTTGTGTGACTTTTAGTCAAATCCATATCTTCACCTGCTAAGAGTTTAGTCTTTTTGTCAGGTAATGAAATAGATAAAGGATTTTCCAGCCTCTGTTGTAATTTACACTCATTAAAATTTACACTCATTTTCCCACTTTCTGACATGATTTTGTGATTTTGGAGTGTCATTTCTTTTTCAGATATTGGTGCAGCTGCCATTTGTACATTTGTCTGATCTTGTTTAAAAACATGATTATCTATTGCAACTGTGTGACTCTTAGTAATATCCATGTTATCCTCTCCTGGATAAATAGTTTTCTCTATAAGAAGAGAGGTGGCATCAGGATTAAAAGACATTTTAGAATTACTGTCATGCTTTAGCAAATTTTTCTCTTCTCTCATACTTGAAAGACACTTGGTCAGTTCCATGGCATCATTACAACTAGAATAAAAAACTGTCTTGTAATCCTGAGTAGCTGAGGTAGAACATATAGATTCTGCAGTCATGGCCAATGTTCTAGCATCTTTATTAGAAGTCTGTGTGACCTTGTGAGTTTCTGCCTCCATAATATGATTTCTGGTACTAAGTATATTGTCTTCAGAGTTTAAGGAATGGTCTTGAAAAGCAGTATTTGTTTCATTCTTAAAGACTGTTTTCTTTCCTGAAGCTTTAGTTCTGTAATCTGTTGTGACGTCCACAGTGACAGGCTGGGTTTGATTTTCTATTTCAGATAAATTATCCGCTGAGGGTAAAATCTGTATGGTGTGGTTAGCTGTCAAGTCCATTACATCATTACCATAAATTGTAGTATCATTACCTTTAAATTCCTGTAAGTTGGCCTCATTGGATGTGGGAACCAATGTCTGAACATTGGTTGTATGACACTGGGTAAAATTCATTCCATCATCTTGTTCTCTAAAGATTTTAGTCATGTTACTGCTATTCTCATCCATATTAAGAGATACATGAACTTGATGTGTAGAAGAGGCACTATTAGATTCTTCAGAATAAACAGGTATCTTGGAATTTTCTTTATCAGGTCCTGTAGAAGGAAAAGCATATTTTCTTGTATTCAATCTCTTTATTAAGTCATTGAAATTTATTTTCTTTTCTGAAGAAGTGTTTTGATCCACAGATTCTTTTTTCATTCTTGAATCCTCGGTATGGAGCTTTAAATTAGCCAGAAATGATGCAGTATCTATCTTGGTGGACTTTTCACTTTTGGTACTGTCTAAAAGGCCTTTAGTAATCATCACAGTATGACATGCTGTCAGGTCCATCTGGTTTTCATCTGAAAAGATGACTGTCTGGTCATTTCCATGCTTCCTTTCATGGTCATGTTCTATAACTGAAAACTATAATGAAAGAAAAATATAAGAGATCAGAACAAATGTAAACTTGTAAAAAGGTATTTTACAACATGTACTATATAGTCAATCCTCAGTGCTGGTTTCATGATATATTGGTTTGTTCAAATTAACAGTGTGGTATACTGCACAAAATTTTTTAAAATGTTTTTCTAGGGCAGCACCTATGGCTCAGTGAGTAGGGCACAGGCCCCATATACCAAGCCCAGCCCCTGCCAAAATTCAACAAAAAAAAATAGCCAGGCATTGTGGTGGGTGCTTGTGGTCCCAGCTACTTGGGAGGCTGAGGCAGGGGAATCCCCTAGGCCCAAGAGCTAGAGGTTGCTGTGAGCTGTGACACCACTGCACTCTACTGAGGGCAACAAAGTCAGACTATGTCTCCAAAAAAAAAAAAAAAAAAAGTTTTTTCTAAAGTCTTTGATTGAGTTACTTTTTAGTGTTTTGGGAAAAATTAAAAATTCAAGGTTAAAAAATTCTTAGTTAGGGCAGCACCTGTGGCTCAAATGGGTAGGGCACCAGCCCCATATGCTGGAGGTGGTGGGTTCAAACCCAGCCCCAGCCAAAAACTGCAAAAAAAAAAAAAAAAAAAAAATTCATAGTTAATTACACATCCACTAAAATGACTAAAAAATCAAAAACACTAATAATTCCAAAGGTAGCCACAATAAAAATTCTAATTGCTATATTGGGTAAAAGGTCATACTCATCCTAGTCTTGGAGAAGCATAAATGCAGGATGGCTAATTTTATTATACTCTGTGTTTAACTCTTTTTTTTTTTTTTTTTGAGAGGACATGGTTCTGAAAGTATGCTACTGCAAGTATGGTCTGTGGACCTGTGCACTGGTATCACCCAGGAGATAGACAGACTCTCAGGGTCTACCCTATTTCTATTGGATAAGGATCTGCATTTCAATAAATCCTGAGATGATACATACAATCTTTAAAGTTTGAGAAGTCTTAGTATACCGTATCTCTCTGTTATTTAAACTGGTAGTGATTAACTATCCTTAGTTAACCAAGAAAGTAGAAAGTTTTTCTAATCTATACTGATTAATTTGTCAAGTCATTATTAAATCATGCCATTACCATCTAATTGTGCTTTTTAAGTTTTGTACTGTCAAAGAGAAATTAAAGTATAAAGATACTTGCATGAACTCATACCTCTTTCTGTTGCATCTGAGTCTGAATGGGAGCACAAAGCAATGTGTTCATCCCTATTGAGAAAAAAGAAAAAAACTGTAGTCAGAAAAAATACACATCACTAAGAGCCTGATTTTCCTTTTCTTAGGTTCCTCATCGGTTATAAGAATTTACCAGTTACTAAGCCCTTCATAAGGACTTACACATTAATTTTTTTTAATTTTTAAAAAATTATTTTTAAGAAGTTTTATTGATATAAAATAGTTACATATAGGCTCAGCACCTGTAGCACTGTGGTTGCAGTGCTGGCCATGGAGGCCAGCGGGTTTGAACCGGGCCGGGGCCAGCTAAACAATGATGATGCCTGCAACAAAAAATAGCTGGGCGTTGTGGGGGGTAACTGTAGTCCCAGCTACTTGGGAGGCTGAGGCAGGAGAAAGGCTTGGGCTCAAGAGTTGGAGACTGCTGTGAGCTGTGATGCCACGGTACTCTACTGAAGACTAAAAAGTGAGACTGTCTCAAAAAAAAAAAAAAGTTACATATGTTTTGGGGGTACATGTGATATTTTGATACCTATATACAACATCTAATGATCAAATCAGGATAACTGAGATAACCTCAACATTTATCTTTTCTTTGTATTGGGAATATATTAAATTTCATTTACTTTTAATAATCCTATTTTAATAACAGAGAGATCAATAATTATTGTATTCTCCATGGGGAGACAGGCAAATTGGAGTAGGAAGAGCATTTTAAAGAAAATAGAATTTATAAACAAATCCAGG